TTCCAAATTAATGAAAAATACAAACACATACACATACAGAGAGAATGAAAGTGGACAGAACGAGTAACAGTTAAGGATGGATCTGCCTATTTAAGACTAGAAAAAGGGAAATTAAAAAACCTCTAACTAAAGAAACCAATTCAGAAAGGAGAGCTAAAGCAAAAAAAGAGTAACTGTATGCAATTAACAGACAGTGGACACAAATGAAGAGCAAATAAATATATGGGAGATTTTAAGGACATAGTCAAAAAACAAAAGCAACAAGTACATAAAAAGAAAAAATCCCAACACTCATAAACTTAAGAATGAGTAAGTTGTATATCTACTTTTAATATTTTATTTTGTTTTCAAAGACAAATGTGAAAAAGTAATAGTGACATTCCTGAAGTATACTAGACCTGAAAACACTGAAAAAGACTTAGGAAAAATAATCAAGGAAGAATAAATAGTGTCTTAGAACAAGGACAAATTAGATTAGCAAAATACATTTATATTATAAAAGACAGTAAAAACTGCCATATCAGAAAATGAGTCAAGATACAATATATGAATACAAGGAGTGCCACAGCAAATAGAAAAGGCAAGCAGTAGAGAAGGACATTTTTCAAAACTGAAAACCTAGTGAGTAAAAGTGAACACAATTGTTCTCTCATGATCATTCCTCAAAGATATATAAAACTCTTGCTTATCGAGGAGGAGCTCTGGTGGCACTGAGGTTAAGACATTGGGCTGCTAACCAAAAGGCAGACACAGTTTGAATCCACTAGCCACTCCATGGGAGGAAAATGAGGCAATCTACTTCTGTAAAGATTTATAGCCTTGGAAACCCGATGGGGGTCACTATGAGTCAGATTTGACTTGACAGTTTTGCTTATCAATTTTTTAACTTCAAGGACTAAACAGCTTACAGACTGACCCAAAGAATTTACAATGGCAAAGACTTAAAGAGTGGCTTCTGAGCCTGCCCTTCAAATATTAGAGAACTGTTAAAAAGCTTCCTAAAGAATTATATGTCCCATTCCAAGAGAGAAGATAAGCTGAGTTCTCCTAACGAAAAAAGTCTGTAGAACCTAACAGAATTTAACAAGAGCACTGTGAAAACAGATCTGTATTAATGGTAAAAATATAACTCTAATGTGAGAAATAAAGTCTTATCCAAGTTTAGGCATATACCCTGCTCCAGGCTAGGCATACTAAATACATCCTTTCATTCAACAAATATTTATTGAGTGCCCCCTTTATGTGCCAGTCATGGCTGGTAATTGTCATTATTGATAGATGTTTGAAGTAAGGCCATCAACAAGCCAATTTGAAGCAGAGTTCCTTTTGAATCTTAAATTCTGTTGGACAGAGAGACAAGAAATAAGTAAGTAAGAACATTAGACACTAAATGCATTGACCCATGTCACTTTAGCTTTATGCACTTTACTGTACATAAATTTATTTCAATAAAATATATTTAAAAAAGAAAAAGAGTACTAGAGACTGTAATTAATTCCATGAAGGAAATAAATAAGAATTTGAGACAAAGAATAACCAGGAGTAGGGGATGCTCCTTTACACAGGGGTCAGAGAAGACCACTCTGCAAAGGAGACATTTAAAAACCTGTATATAAGGAAGACTACCTTTCCCTATTGCAAAATGCCTTCCAAATAGAGGAAACAGCAAAGGCAAAGGCATTGAGGCTGAAAAGAGCTTTTCTATGCTTAAATAATGGAATGGTACCCAAGATGTATAGTGAGCAGTAGCAAGAGGTGAGGTTCACTCACTGATTCAACAAAAATTTACTGAATGCATCTTATATGCCAGGCACTATGCTACAGTTCTGGGCAGATAAGAAAGACAAAGCTCCTGCTATTACAAGGTTTATGTAGGGGAGAAAAGGGGAAGATTTGGAGTGGTTAATAAAAAGCCAGATAATTCACTTTATTTTAGGTGCAATAATAATAATGTCACCCTCACAATGTAGTGGCTTTCTCATTCTGCCCAGGCCCTAATCACGGAATGGAGTCTTTCGTTGGGCACAACACACTGAGAAAACTGGAGCCCCAGTCATTCTTCTGGCTCATGAGGTGGTGTTTCCATGCCAGAAGAAACAAGCTAAGAGGACCTCAGGCTGCTGCATACCCTCCACCAACCACTCAACTCCTAGAGCAAGGGTGTCACACAGAAAGAAATATGCCACTGTCTGGAACACTATCTCAGAGATATACCAAGACCATACAGTATTTGTGTATTTAAGCAGACCAGCATTGTGGAGGTGCTTTTGCAACATCTGGGTATTCAGAAATGTACAATCAACTTTTTGTCTTTTGAATATGGAGAGATTATGTCCCAGGTTCTGTTATATAGGTAAAAGTTGAGTTGATCTTATTGACTCATCATAAAGAGACTATGTCTATCAAACAATTTCTGACTGACAACTTTCTTCTTATCCAGAAACTACTCAAAGAAGGAAGCACATTGTAACTCACTCACTTGATGAACTTTTCTAAATTTTCTTCAAGAAAATAGTCTTTGGGTCTACACATGACCCTCAAAGGGTAAGCTGTGGGGCATGTGGGCAGGAACACACAAGAGTGAGAACCTAGTGATTAAATCTTTATACCAAACCAATCAAAGGAAGACATTTAGAAGACACTGAGTAGGGGCTCTTGTCTTTGTGACTATTCTTATTTATAAGAATAGGTTAGTTCCTAACCAGAATTTTTCAGTTGCACAGGAAAATACCGGCAATCCATAGAATAAATTTTGGATGAGCATGTTAACTAATAACTCCCATGAGAATATCCCATGGACTTCCTGAATGCATACAGGGGCTGTATGAACTCCTTCTGAGCTCAAAAGAATAGCTACCCTGTATTGTCTCCCCAATTCCTTTACATATTGTAGCTCATTTAGGAAAAACAGGTCCTAGGTACCAAATACTATTCTCTTACAAATTCATTTTATTTACATTGGTAAACAGTATTGGGAAAAAAAAAAAAAAAAAAGTCAGCAAAAGTTCCAACTATTTTGAAGTAGGGGCTGACCTAATATTCTGCCTCCCATTTTCATCTTTTTTTCCTCACCCCTGAAGAACTGTCTTTTGACACCTAATCAACTACATGGACTTGCCACTGTCTTTGTGCTATAGGAAAATTCTGATGAGCACTGCAAATCAATGAAGCAAAATGACAGACAGGTATTACTCTTCCTAGAAAACTTAACATCTCTAGGACTTTTCTGAAATATTTAGAAATGCTAATTTCTCGCCCCACTCTAATTAGAATAATGTAGTGAAAAATGGAAAGAGGGGACCTTGACTGGTTATAGGAGTATATACTTTCCAGTCTTCTAACCTACAAAGGTTCAAGGAAAGGTAAGCCTTGCCTATCATGATTCTGGATTTAGTGTCATCAGTGCTTCTAATTAAAGATATTTTATTAAAGTAGGTTTTGAGTTAAACAACATTCTAAGTATGCTCTAAAACTATTATTAACCTTCATGTGTATGTATGTTTTAAAGGAAAATAAACCAGTAGAAACTTACTCTGGCAGAGTAGTGAGCCTTATTAAATATGCTTAATTACTTTTCAAAAACTGAGCCGTAACTAAACTATTTTCAGAGTTTCCTAAAATCACGAGACATTAAAGACCAAGAGCATCTATGCCAGAGATTAACTATTATTATGTGATTAGAACTGGCCTTTCCTGCAAGTTAAAAGTCCAACTAATCATACTTCAGTGTTTGAAGGACATCCCTTCTGAGCTAAAGTGTAGGGTGAGAATTATTGTAAAGTCCAAGTTACCATGCTGAATGTACATTTATTTTTTTCTATTATAATTGCTCAACTTCTCATTGGTTGTCCCAGGGAGGCTTTTTTTTTAACTTCAGAAATTCCTAATCTGGACAGACCATAAAAGTTCCAGAAACTTTAGGAATAAATTCTGAAAGACCTACAAGCAAATGGCATTGAGTATTTTTTTAAAGTATAAAGGCAGACTTGAATTGCTCAGTCAACACAAGATTATTAAGTGATTATTTTAATTTCATTTTTATTAGCTTCTTTAAGTATAATTTCTGAAAAAACATGTTTATTCTCTAAGTAATAAAGTTTTAACCAAAAAAAAAGATTCCTAAAAACACTACACCTGAAATAATGGGAAATTCCACAAAAGAATAAAAATGATGGCAGAAGAACAAAGAATCTGTTAGTCAAAGATCATCCTAAGTTAGCAAAACATATCTATAGTATAACAATAAAATGTTCAGCAAGAGAACACACCTGAAATAACTGAGTTAGAGAAGGGTTCTAACTAACTAGACAACAAATTTGTAGTTGAAACAGATCATTAGGTGCTTTTAATTATTAACATGACAGAGGCCACTTCTAATTTATATCTGGGTCCCCAGCAATTTCCAATAAGCAAATTTTCAAGAACTTCAGCACTAGATTAGACTACCAAACTCCTCTCCTATCAACTGACAAACTGAAGAGTTTCAGTGACATTCTGCTAACCATCTCACAAAGGAGAACATGAATAGCAACTATAAATGAGAACTAGTTACATTACATGATTATGAACATGGTCCCGTTAAATTAAAACCAAATCATAAGGCAGGCAATTTTAGAAGACGTTTCTGATATGCAAGGGAATAAGAACACCAAACCTCAATGTCACATTTTCTGTCACTTTCCAAAGGATATATTAGATAAAATGTAATAAACCTAGATACCTAGACACAAATTAAACTATTTATTATTTCCCAAAATATCAATAGTAACTAACTGCCTCTTTGTAGCTGGATTACAGAAGCTCTTTTTTCTCCTACTTTATGTTTTTCAGTAAATTCCAAATTTTCACAATAAGTATGTATTATTCTAATTCAGAAAACCAAAGGAAAAAGAAGTATCATTAAAAGAAATATATCATTAAAAGGCCTCTTTCTTCACTTTACTAGATTAGCGATCAAGGCTTTCTGTCTCTAAGTAAAACAAGATCAATTAACTTCTTACCAGGTCTAATGAAGACATTTTCCACAGACAACATTGCTGCTATTGGAAGTAGCAGATCTTCACAATCCAGAGAAGCAGCCTTTATTACTGCACAAGTTAGATGTGGGGGGAGAGGAAACTCTACCATAGACAAGCCCAATCTGGTCACATGGCCACTCCTTAAGGGAAAGAAAAAGTTCCTCAATCTTTCCACCTTGGAAGAGTTACATGATTCAGATTATTTTAAATCATTTCTAGAAATTCAATTCAATATAAAAATATGAAATACTGTGGTCAGTGATTAAGAGGAACATAAACATGATAAACCTTCTCTTGTCAAGAGCCTACTACATTCAAAAAAACTAAACAATGAGGCAGAGTAAGGTAGTATAATTAAAGATACTAACGGTACAGGAGCACAGAGGACATCACTGGAGACAGTGACAATAATAATTATCACATCTTCCACCATATTGCACAATTATGAACAAAAGGATTAGAGCTTTCATATTAACTTTATGCATTCAGCATAATGCCTGGAATTGAAATGGTACTCAGAAATTATTAATACCAATGTTAAACAAAAATGATTGTAAAATTTTATGGAACAGTTTTTAAATTCAGTATTGTGGTAAAGAAGGAATGAAAAAAAATTTAGTTTAAGGAAAACAATTTAATTCAAATAAATAATCTTCTTCTGATAAAGAAAGGTACTTAAAATCCGTTCAAAAACAGATCAACATTTGTTGTGGCTGATTTTCTTTTTTTTTTTACCTGTCGATAGCATCACACTGGTAAAGTTGTTTAAGAGCTTCCAAAATAAGTCTCTCATTAGGTGGATCCAAATAGGGAAATCTGTGTTTAAATAAGATATGAAATAAGACTCCATTCTATGAACATGGTATGATTTTATGCAGAGTTGGTGAAAATTTCTTTAAAATGTTTCACTTCCCCTACTTTTCAAGTTTGCCCTTTTTTTTTGTTTAAACAATCTAAGTTCAGGATCAGCATTCAGCAAAGGAGGAAACGTTTTCTTTCTGAATTACGCTTCTCTATTTGAGAAGCACTGCTTTTTGATCCCCCTCAGTGAGAACAATGTCATTGTTCCTCTCTATGTTAAAGGTAACGTATATTCAATTAATTCTGCCATATTTGCTTTACGTACGTATGCATGTGTGTGTACATATTTTCTGAACTAGCTGAAGGCAAACTGTACATACAATGCCACTTCAACATCAACATATTTCAGTATGTAGCTCCTGAAAACAAGGACATTCAATTCCATATCCACCACTAATTAACATAATTTTTTAAAATATTCACAAAGTAGAGCAAAGTGGCCTATAATCAAGCACGAATATTTAAAATGTGGAGCAATAATTATACCTGGACAGGGTTATTTTTTTCCTAACTTAAATCTTGAGATGAAAAATTATCTACTCTAACCTCTCATACTCTGAGAAGTAACCAATAAAGGACAAGAGATCTATCTTACACAAAAGACCATTCTAGGACTGAGAACTCTAACTATTTAAAAACAAACAAAATTCTCTTAAGTTGTTCTACAGTCAGCTTTCCTACAACTTGCCTGACCAGTTCTGGTACCTTCTGGAACTGAGGCTGCCAAACTTTTTGGTAAAGGGCCAGATGCAAAGTGTTTTAGCTTTCCGGGCATATGTTCTCTATCACAACTATGATTCCGCTACTGTAGCAAAAGCAGCTAGAGACAATACATAAACTAATGGGCACAGCTGTGTTCCTATAAAATTTTATTTACAAAAACTAGTGGCCCAGACTCTGTTCTAGAACAATACTGAACTAGACAGCTATTGCTTTCATAAGAAAGAACTTTTAGATTTGCTAACACTAAATTCTTTCTCTCTTGATTTACTCAATTGCCAATTTTGTTAACCATTCCTCATATTATTTGGTTCCTAATAGACCTATCCCATTTAATTACCCTCCATTTGGCAAATTAGTTTTCCAAACTGATTTGTAATAGTTAGGATTTCTCTCATTATTTCTAAATCTACCTTGGTTGTCAATTCCTTCTTATCCTTACCTGTTCTTCCCTTTGCAGTTTTAAAAATAGGAATGGGGAAAAAAAGTAATAATTGAGACTCTCCTTTTTCTTTTTAACATCTATGAATACTACACCATCTGTCCCACATACTGAGTCTACCTCTCCTTATGTTACCTTCAAACCCAAACCCACTGCCACCAAGTCAATTCTGACTCACAGTGACCCCCATATGGTTTCCAAGGCTGTAAATCTTTACGGAAGCAGACTGTCTCATTTTTCTCCTGCGGAGCAGCTGGGGTGTTCTAACCACCAATCTTTTGCTTAGCAGCCCAATGCCTTAACCACAGTGCTACCAGCGCTCCTTCCTTATATTACATACAACTTAAAAAGAGGGGGAGTCACATTTTCTCTAGCATTTTGTGGACTTTGAGTACATGGCACATCTTAAGATGGAAAAATAACCCAGTGTAAACATTAAGTAATTATTGCTTCTATTTTTCTAATAAGCACTCATACTTGGTTAACTGGTGTTCTGAAATTCTTTATAAATATTCATTTTAAATCCTGGTTCACCTGAAAGCTTTTTTTAAATGGCTCTTTACTTTCCTTCTTTGGCAACAGATTATAGTTAGAATTTCATTTATTACATGATCTACTCTTTCTAGCATCTCCATTCTCATTAAAAAATCTCTAGTTTTGTATCATAACTATCCAAATTATGTTGAAATTGACTTTCCTAGAGTATACTTACTTGGATACACTTAATTATTTCACCTAGAATGAGTAATTACTTCCCCTAGAATGAGTGGTCACTTTCTCCCAAGGTTCCTGTTACTATCTCTCCCTGCCGATTAAGGCCAATATTAAGACCAAGATAACAGTTTCTTTCATCACTTCCTCTACCATCTGAAATAAAAAATTTCAAGCCCCTATAAAAATATTCTATCCTCTGGTGGTGTAGTGCCTAAGGCATTTGACTGCTAACCACAAGGCTGGCGGTTCAAACCCACCAGTCACTCCTCAGAAGGAAGATTGGGCAATCTACTTCAGTAGTGATACCGCCTTAGAAACCCAAGAAGGGGTTCGCTATGAGTTGGACCCAACTAGATGGCAGTGAGTTTGGTTTGTTTATACCCTAGTTGGGAGCTCTGGTGGTGTAGTGCCTAAGGCATCTGACTGTTAACCAGAAGGCAGGCAGTTCAAACCCACCAGCCAGTCCTTAGAAGGAAGATTGGGCAATCTACTTCTGTAGTCATACTGCTTCAGAAACCCAAAGAGGGGTTGCTATGAGTCAAATCTGACTCAATGGCAGTGAATTTAGTTTTTGGTTTGGTTAGTTAATTGTATAGTTTAATATTTGATTAATTTAATATTAGGAGCTCTGGTAGCATAGTGCACCTAAGGCACCTGACTGCTAACCAGAAAGCTGGAGGTTCAAACCCACCAGCCACTCCTCAGAAGGTAGGTTGGGCCATCTACTTCCATAGTGATACCCTCCTCAGAAACCCAAGGAGGGGTCGCTATGAGTGAGGTCTGACTCGACGGCATATAACAACAACAACAACAATTTAACATTTGTTCTAGTCTTCACTTCAAGTGCAAATGTTTCATTACCCAATACAACTTAAGCTTAGTGAACACAAAAAACAACTACAGAATATTACCCTGTCTTTGAAAGCACATAGTACTATATTAAAAAACGAAATCCACTGCTGTCGAGTAAATTCTGACTCACATTGACCCCTACAGGGTTTCCAAGGCTGTAAATCTCTGTGGAAGCAGACTGCCCCATCTTTCTTCCACGGTGTAGCTGGTGGGTTCAAACCACCAACCTTTTAGTTAGCAGCCAAACCACTTAACCACTATGCCACCAAAAAAAAAATTTCTAACTGGAATTAGGGTCACTTTTCATCATGTAAACAATGGTCACTAGCAAATCCAAATAAATTTCATATTAAGGCAAGGTTAAAATATCAGCAAGGGATTAGATCTCAATAAAATCATGGAAACCCATGATTTTGGTTTAGTTGAAGCTCGAAAACAGATTAGCCTCAGTGCTACAGGAATATTTCAAAAAGAACTTTTAAGGAATACCCTGGCCCCACTGTAGCAAATTTTTCATTTTTTCAATTGTGTCAACATACCTTATAACATCGTGTATGGCAAGGCACTTTAAGGTCAGAACTACGGATGTCAAACTAGTCCTTTTAATCTCAGGGATCACATGGTCAGGCATACACTGGTTCCAAAAATCTTTACTATAAATCCGAAAGCATTTTCCTGAGGAAGTTCTACCAGCTCGGCCACTTCGCTGTAACGCCTCACTCCTTTGAGGGAAAAAAAAAGTTCCCAAATTGTTCTGTGGGTTTCTCAAGTAATTTACTTCCCATCCCCAAACCAGCTAGAAACTATCTGGTCAACTGTTCTTGAACAAAAAGACTTAACACAGAGACTTACTTTGAAATTGGAACCACCTCCAGGATGTCCAATCCTAATCTGGGATTGTGATTTAACTGTTTCACAAAGCCACCATCTACCACGTATCTAAGGAAAATGAAAACAAATTAAGTTTCTAGAAAATAATGGAAGACTTGTTAATTTTTAAGCACTTTGGGTTCTTCTTGTCTACTTAGGTCATAATTATACAAAGTCTTTTACATTAAGTATAAAATGTAAAAGTTCAGTAATTATAACCTTCTTAACATTGCTGGTAGTAACTGAAAATGGCAGTTCCTCAAAAAGTTAAAAATAGAATTACCATTTAATCTACCAATTGCACTCCTAGGTATATATGCAAAAGAACTGAAAATGGGTACTCAAACACATATTTGTATATGAATGTTTCATAATAGTACTATTTACAATAGTAGAAGGTAGAAACAATACAAATGTCCATCAATGGATAAATAAATTATAGCATATACATACAATGGAACAATATTCAGCCATGAAAAGGAATGAAGTACAGATACATGCTACAACATGGAAGACTTTCCAAAATATTATGAAGAGTGAATTATGGTAAGTGAAAGAAACTAGACACAAAAGGTCACATACTGTATGATTTCCTTTATATGAAATATTCAGAACAGGTGCATCCAGAGAAAGTAAATTGGTAGCAGTCAGGAGTCGTTGTGGGGAGAAGGCAGATGGGGCTTTTCTCCCACAGAGAAACTAAGTGGGTCTGAATACAGCTAGCCTTTCAGTTACCAGCCAAGCTGCTTCTTAACCACTGTGCCATCAGGGCTCCTTCCTTAAAAGGCATGAGGTTTTATTCGAGGGTGATGAAAATGTTTTGGAACTAGATAGAGGTGATGACTGCACAACACTATAAATGCACAAAATGCCAATGAATATTTACTTTAAAATGGTTAATTTTATGTTATGTGACGTTCATCTTAAAAAAGCAAAACTAAAAACTTGTCAATAAGCTCTAGACTTAACTAACAGGTCCAGAATTTAACTCCAACTAGCCTTTAACATACAAGTAAATGGGAAAGCAAGTGAGGGAGAAAACTAAGTGAAGAATTGCTGAGGGAATCTTCTCAAACATCCTATTTAATGACTTTGCCTTTGCTAAAAAATTACAGGTCGATTTATTCAGCAGAGCTGTTCCCCAAGCCCCTGCTAAAGCCATTATTTTCAACGTAAAGGAAAAAAGCAGAGGAAATTAAACTTCCTCTCAGATCTGAGTGATCATTTTACCCTGAAGAAACAGACAGGGTTTCGTAACATTCAGGTGCAGCCTTCCTGTGGCAGACAGACAGATTTAGGACATATAACATATCAGCTAAAAGATAAATATCTGAAAGGGACGTGGTTCAACAGTCTAACAGAACTTCACATTAACTGTCAGTCCAGACTTAAAATTTCCTAGTGTTTCTCTAGAATTCAGCTCTAAACTTTGATGGCATCATCCAGAATATCCAAAAAAGATAACAGATCTCCATGACAGTTCATCTTCATAAAAATGTAAGAAGTGAGAGAAAACACCTCCAGATAAACACCTGGATAAACAAACTAACTCTACCAAGGGGGCTACAAGGTAAGAAGGGAACCTAGGATCATAGTATGTGTGGTAATGGGGATGTGAAAAAACAGATTTTTAACTTTCTACTTAGTAAAACCTATGAAGCATTACACATAAATCTTCCAACATGGGAAGAAAAAGTTTCAAGTTGCCAAATAGCTAAAAAGCGTAAACAGAAATACAGTTTGTACCTCCTACCTTAGTTTCCCATACACAGCAATCAAATAAATACAAAAGAAAAAAAAAATTAATTATAAGTTAAGAACCTTAAAAAGTAGGTGAGAAGAAAATCAGCAGAGGAAACAGAAAACAAACAATAATATCTTAACATTAACTAAGTGGTTTCCTTGGCTTCAAGAGAAATTTCAAAAGCTGTACCTGATTCCATCTATTGTTAAAGATGTTGCAGAAATATTAGTGGATATGACACATTTTCTAATTCCAGGAGGAGGTGGCAAAAATATTCTTCTCTGTTGATCTAAAATATATATAAAGAAAACATACTAATTTATAAGATGCATCTGCCAAACTCAAGTTTCCAGGAATTCCACTTACAGAAGGCAGAGAGAGGTGCACAAGAGGTATAGACAACAATGGTAAATATTGTTACATATACAATACTATTATTATCAGTAATAACAAACATTAATCTATGGGTAGATACTTAAGTAGACAGGCAAAATGATCAGGTACGGGTAAGCAAAAGGGAATATGTAAGTTTGGCAGACAATATTTATATATATGTGTGTTTTTTGCATGTGCTCTAAGAAATGTCCATATATATGACAGTTAACAGAGCAAAGTTATGGTAACTTCTTAGCCACAGCTAACCACACTGGGCCTGTGAACTTGGACCATAGTCACAGAGGACATCAAGTTTAATTGGCGTAACACAGTACCCAAAAACATTGTTCTACATCCTACTTTGGTGAGTAACAAACTGAGGTCTTAAAAGCTTGCAAGCGGCTATCTAAGACGGAACAATTGGTCTCTTTTTGTCTGGAGCAAAGAGTGAAAAAAGTCAAAGACACATGGAAACAAGTAGTCTGAGGGACTAGTGGACTGTAGGAACCTCAATGTACATGACCCTGTGACCAAAAGAACTAGATGGTGCCCAGCTACCACTGTCAACCACTCAAAAAGGGATCAAAATTGGAGATGCCAGATAGAGTGGTAGAAAACTGTGGAACAAAACTTAAAATCGTTAAAAAAAAAAAAAAATCATTAAGCCTCTATCAGGCTTAATGGTCTGAAAGTCAAGACTAGTGAAACCCACAAGACAATGGCCCCTAATCACCCTTTGGGCCTAAAACTGAACCCACTCCTGTGGCTTAGCTTCTAGGCAAACAACAGACAGGCTTACAAGGTGAACAATTACACCAGGTAGGCACACTCCTTAGAACAATCAACAATCAATCAAGAAGATCAGAAGGGCAGCATGTGTACAGAGAGACAGGTCAGAAGGCAGGAATGCACAGGAAAGAAGGGCACAGGGAAAAGATAACCGCAGGGAAGAAGTGGGAAGAGAGATGTTACAATGCAATCAATGTCACCAAACAAAATGTGCATGAACTGTTGAATGGAAAATGAATTTCCTTTGTATACCTTCACTCAAATCACATTTAAACAAAAAAAAGAAACAAATATTTACAGCCTTGGAAACCCTACGAGGCAGTTTTACTCTGTCTACTCTATGAGTCAGAATTAACTTCACGACAGTGGGTTTGATTTGGTTTGGTTTTCACCTCCTTGCCATTTCCCACACCAACTGTATACTTGGGGTTGCAGATATAGGATGGTACTGCACTTTTCACCTGGGCGAGCTATCTGTAATTCCTGTAAAAACTGATGTAATTTCTTATGAAAATGCCTTTCCATATACTACCTCCTTGGTTTAGAATGCCTTTACGCCTGAACCTGGAGAACTATCTATTCATCATTCAAAATTCAGTTAAGTTGTCATTTCTTCTGTTTTCTAGAATTCCCTCCAGCCCTCTCCATCGCTTGCCAAAGTACAGTTGATTATTCTCTGTGTTTCGCTTATCTGCACTATGAATACCATACAACTTATCACAGTGTATTCCTAAATATTTTTGGAACTTTTTTTGATATAAATTCAAGCTTATAGAAAAGTTCCAAGGATAAAGGAATTTCCATGTATTCTTTATTCAGATTCACCAGCTGTTTACATTTTGTCCCATTTGCTTTATTATTTTGCTCTCTCAAAATATCTATATACATGCATGAAATTTTGGAACCCACTTTACCATGAATCGGAGTTGACTCAATGACAACGCAGTACTGGTTACCTCTATGTACATCAGCACATATTTCCAAAGAACAAAGATATTCTCCTACCTAACCACAGTATAATTATCACAGACAAAACATTTAAAATCTTTTCCTTACTGTTATCTAGAAAAAAATTAAAGTACCAATAATTAAAAAAGAACTCTTTCCATTAATTTTTCAATTCAAAATATAATTAGCAAATACATTTTATTCCTCACCTTTCACTGTTATGATTTCTATATCATAGAATCATAGATCATAGAAACCCTACTGCAGAGTCCTTTTTCTAGGCCTTAGATGCCTTTGAGGATAAGGACCTCCTATCTAATAAAAGGAACAACTTTTTTCCAACAATTTTAGGATATTCAGAAACTCTCTGAGTCCATCTGTGGATTGGACATTAAGGATGTTCCTCTGCCTTAAAGATTAGCCAAGCAGTTTTTCCTTTTAGAGGTGTCTGCCCAACTCATGACTATCTCTCTAAAGAAGGCATACCACACCCACTTCCACTATTCCATACATTTTGAGGGGTGGGCCTCAACAACAGAGGCTGTAGTATGGTACCCTGATTCTCTGGCCAGGGTAGAGCACCAGGGATGAGTTATCTCCCCCAAGCTGGGTCAATCAGATTCTCCTGTGAATTTGGGATAAGGTCCAAGTTATTGTCAATTTGATTAAGCTAGTCTCTTACAAAGAGGAAAAATAAACTTGGGAACCATAGGGAAGTTACTAATGTACGTAAGAGAAAGCTAGTCTTAAAGAAAGAAAAGAATCAATTGGCCATGAGTTGGAAAGAGAGTATTTCTAGGTTCCTAACCCACTGCCAAGTCAATTCCAACTCATAGTGACCTTGTAGGACAGAGTAGAACTTCCCCACATGGTTTCCAAGACTATAAATCTTTAGGGAAGTAGACTGTCACAACTTTCTCCCACAGAGTGGCTGGTGGGTTCAAACTGCTGACCTTCTGGTTAGCAGCTGAGTGCTTTCACCACTGTGCCACCAGAGCTCCTTTCTAGGTTCCTAGCAGCTGTGAAATAAGCAGAAAGCTAAGTTTGGTTAAATCTGCTCTCCTGTCAGATTAAACAACAGAACAGGGCAGGAGAGTTAAGAATGTTTACAATGAAATGATATAGTATGAGGAAAGGAGGTAAATGAAGGTGGGTAGAGGATAGGTCTCAATGTGTTCTGAAAACTGTTATATTAAAAACAGTGCAGTAAGGGAGCTGGGAGAAACAGAGAATAGTTGTTTAAACTTGTGATTTCAGGAAATATGGAAATGACAAATTCTAGGACAGAAGTATTTGAATGAATGGTTGACACAGAAGAAGGGAAAGATCACATAAGTTAAAGATGTCAAGGAACTACACAGTGAGGGAGCTAGGTGGACCACCAATGTCAATGATATCCAAAGACAGGACTGATCATTTCAAGTAGTATATAAGTCAATCCACTGGAGTATGAAAGGAAATTATTAGCACTTCTATTCATATTTTTTCATAACATCTCTTTCCTTTTTATATGTCTTTACAATTGTACATTATATACTAGTACAATGTTGTTGTTATTTGTTGTTATATGCCGTCGAGTCGGACCCAACTCATAGCGACCCCTCCTTGGGTTTCCGAGGCAGTATCATTACGGAAGTAGATTGCCCCATCTTCCTTCCGAGGAGTGGCCGGTGGGTTTGAACCGCTAGCCTTCTGGTTAGCAGTCAAATGCCTTAGCCACTATACTACCAGAACTTCCTACTAATAGTACACCTTTATAAAGAAACAAATACTACATTTTAAATGTCTGGCTGCCATTTGATTTCTACGAGATATGCCAGTACTGTTTACAAAATTCACTTTTTCTACTTGAGGAACCTCAAGTGGGTTTTCTTCCTGCAGCCAAGAAAATCTTAACAAAGATAAAGTAAAAATCCACTTTCAAGTAAAATCTTATAAAAATCCCTATATTCCCAATATATAAAAAGACCACAGTTGACAGTTTTAAAATCATGAAACCAGGCCAACCCTCTCACCTTGGAGATGAGAAAATAAAAGGTCAAAGAGGTAAGGTGGCTCGTCCAAGATTCACACATAGACAAGCAAGTTTTAAAAAAATTTCAATAATGTTTCTACTCCTGAACATCATTCTTAATTTCAAAAAGAAAAGAAAAAAAAGTGTTATAAAGGTAACTTTTAGGAATGTATCTAAAGATAAGTTGTATTATAAATGGAAAAATAATTTCAAAAAGATCTGTTTCAGAGTTGAAAAGCTGTGTTAAAATTTATTTTTAATTACTTCTTAGGTTTAGATAGCTCATTTCTTCAATTTGAACCAGCTATCCAAACACATATACATCAGCAGTCCCATAAGGTATGGTTTTTGTTTTTAAAGGGCAAGTAGCTTTCCTTTTATTTCCCCCTATTGTTTCTGACCCCAAACCCAGACATCTGAAGCACAGGACCACAAGTGGGATACAAGCAGGTAAGGCAGAGGATGTGGTTCTCGAAATGCGCTCTTGGGCTTTGTCTGGTCAGGAGGTGGTCTCAGTGATGGGCTGTCCCTGCTAGTCAGCCAGGTAGAACGCTGGGCAGGGCAGGGCATGCTCCACTCCCTCCCTGCTTGATTCCTCTCCCTCCACTCCCACTACTGCCACCAGCTGCTCCATCCTCTACCAGCAGCGCCAGGAGCAGCGGCAGAAACAGAAGCGATAATGAGGACAACCAGAAGTGAGATCCCATAAAGTTTTAATATATGGAATTCACACAGCATCCAAATCACAAAATGTCCTAGTTCATAGAACATATTCCAGACATTAAGTGATGCATACCTGGACTACACCATTTTATGTAAGGGACTTCAGCATGCACAGATTGGGTATCTGTGGGGGATCCTGGACCCAATCTCCTGCAGATACCAAGGGATGACTCTGTACTATTGTATAGGTCAAATTATGTTTAGACATTAAGTTATTACCTTTTTACTAGAATGTAACTCCACGAGGGCAAAGGCTTTCTTTTATTCAAGGCATAACCTTACTACCTAGAACAATGCCTGGTCCATAAGAAGTACTCAATAAATGGTTGTTGAATGAATTAATAAAAATGCATTACATAGGGAGGAGTGTGCCCATGACCATGTGTAGGACTGGCAGACAATATTTCTACAAGCATATCTGTATATGCTACAAAAATGTC